CTAGGGCCAAATACGAAAAATGGAATTTTATTTTAAATCTGCTGCGATTTTTAATAATAACCGAAAGTGTCAAATTACAGCCAATTCGGCTAAATACGAAAAAAGGGGGCAGAGCTAATATGTAGAGGCTGCATCGAGAAGATCATATTCAATGTCAACAATCCCAATAGTAATAGGTATATGTGTGCAAACCTTTAAAGCTACATAGTGATTTCAACTAAATCGACATAAAATTTTACGCTGCATCGAGAAGACCGATATATTCCATATTCAAGTTCAACAATCCCAATAGTAGTAGGTATATATGTGCAAACCTTTAAAGCCACATAGTGATTTCAACTACGTCGACATAAAATTTTACGCTGATCTATACGGGACCTACGACGAATATTTCGAAGTATTGCTATAGAAGCATATTTTCAATTTTCAATTTCAATTTATTTTTCATAAACGAGAATCTAGCCCAAAGGGCCAAAAGCGATTCAAAAAACAACAAAATATAAACTACTCCAAAAGCTTAAAACTAACAGTGTATTAGCTTAATGTTATCTTAACGACTATTCAGTTGGAGGGGTTCAGAACCATTGTACTTCAAAAACATTTTTATTATTATTATTTTATGTACACTCTTTGGTAGATAATTCAGAACTGATAATCTGATAGAGCAATCTGCAATATTGTGGAGATTGAGAGAGTTGAGATGTTAGAAAACTAACCCTATTCATGCTATTTTACTACGGTAATTTATATTGATACTTTTTTGTATGTATAGGTAGGTATATAGGTACATAATTTTGAATATTTGGAACAATTATTCGAGTTTTCGGTGTGTACCTAGTTCTGCGGGTCTTGAAAGTTCTGGGAAAAAACATTAAATGTGCTAAAATCATTGGTTCATCACCAAATATGATGAGATATAGGGCCATTCAATACAACTGTACTCTAAAGATGGACTTAAGTACGCCCATTTACAATTTTATGAGGTCATATTTAGGAAACAAGTCAAGTTTAGGGTATTTTTACGTAAGTAGTCCTCCTTGAGCTGATTTAAGTGATATACATTTTATGTGGGAAATGCATACTTCCTAGATATGGGCCTTTGTGTAAAACAGCCGTTTTACTATTGCCACCAAAAATTTCAAAGCGATCCGAATGATGCCCCTAAACTTGACTTAAGCCATATTTCGTTCCAAATATTCACAAATTGTGTTTTAAAAGAAGGAAACATACCCTTCATATTATAAAAAGTATTCCAATAAGTAGTCTTAATTTTGATTACCTTAAAACAACTTGAACTTGCACCAGATCAGCTATGTAAATGCAGCATGCTTTTTCATGATGAAATAAACTGCAGAAGAACTGTATATTCACATAAAATGAAAATATAGCCGGGTTGAATATAACAATCACATCACTACTGCATGTTCCTTCTCCCCGATTTCTATATCAGTTGCTGCTGACACCAATCTGTCCTTCATCAGTCGCTGCTGACACCAATTTATTATCATATTGCGTCCGTGATCACATTGTTATTTAAATTGCCATAAATTTAATTTTCTTTTAATCTTTCAATACCTTTGCTATTAGTTTTTAATGCTTAACATTTCATATATTGAACAATTATAACACACCTGTTTTAATCTCTAATCGTCATAATCGTCGAGGTATGTGCTTTTTTGGGTAAATCCTTAACAAAATTCTCAAAATTCTATTCTTATCCCACGTCCAGACATATAAACAAACCGTCACCACTAGGGTTAAGTAAATCGACATTCGACTAATCGATTTTTTGTGTTGTTAAAAACTCAAAAAGTCGAAGTCGACTTTTGATCTTTGAGGAAATCGCAAAATCGACATATCAAGATCTACTTTCGATCTTTTTACAAATACTTGCTTTATTATACCAAAGCCAAAATTGTCAAAAAATTGCACATTCCAGAACTTAAGAACATTTATAAAAAAAATCAAATATCTAGTGGATTTTGCATCGGTCTACCGGTAGCAGTTAGATATTGAATATTAACGTCAGTTAGAACGCTGAGAATTCCTAACCTGTTGTTATCCTGAGGAAAATACAACAACCACAAGGAAACGCTACGCTTCGAACTTGAATATATTTTACCATTTTGTGTGCGTTGAAGCGGTAACAAAAGAATGCTCACCGCGAACATTCTGCTTATGCCTTTATCCCTAGTCACCACAAATAAATCAGGTAGTAAAGTAGTCCGATGCCGGATTCCTTGTTTATATGTTCTCAATGAGAAAATTCTAACTAGAAATAAGCAATAATAAATGCGTTCGTTTACTTTTCCAATAAAAATTACCCCGAATGTTTTTGAAGAGAGTTTATTCTTTCATATATTGCGATAAGTAAACGACATCCAGTAAAGAAAAAATTCACTTCGTGGTTTGGAATCTCTGGCAAGTCTCGTTAAAATCGGTGTGAAATAACGTGGATGATCACAATGGACCTGACGGTTTTAAAGTGCTGTAGCCACATAAGCGACTGCACATCCCCAAACTGAAATTAGTACGTGTGCCGAGTTATGTAGGAATCGGTTCAGATTTAGAATAAATCCCATATATAGATTCGTCCGATTTTAAGTAAATGGCGCACCCAAAGTTAGGCCGATTGACAAAAAATTCTGCACAACGTACTGAAGTTAATATAACCTAACATGTGGAAAGTTTGTTGAAATCGGTTCAGATTTGGATAGAGCTCCCATATATATTTTCTTCCGATTTTAAGTAAATGAAGCACCAAGAACTCAAAATATAGTCGATATACATATAACATACTGAAATTAGTATAACCTAACATGTGACAAGTTTCGATATAGCTATATATATATTTTCGTCCGATTTTAATTAAATGATGCATTTTTATCAGATATTTATTCAAATAATCAACGAGTGTCCGATTGGTATTTGCTTTAAATTGATTTACATAATTTTGTCTCATTGTAAGAAGCAACTCTATATCTGACCAAATGAAAAAATTTGGTATAGGATGCAGAATGACATTTTTATGGATCCAATTTCATGTTAATGGTACTTCAAAAATGCGACGTCTATTAGGATTCATCTGTTGAATATATAGTCGGCCCTGTCCGACTTTACTACTTTCCTTACCGTTTTTTGTTATCTTTATTATCTAAACTTTAATGAATAATTGTTTTAGACATTTTAAACGTATTTAATTTTTTATCAGTCGAAAATGTTTTCGAATTCCAAATAGCTTTTTTTAAATTCAAATGTCATATACCTAAAAACTTCAGCAATTTTTACTTTTAGTCTGTTTTTCCACGGGCAAATTTTTATTTGGCAAATACTGAGTTTGTTGGCGAATGAGGTGCAAGGAAGAAAAACAAAACTTTGACTGTTTAGAATTTGCAGTACACGCAAATATGTGCAAGTGAAATTTAATTTTTAATTTTTGCAATTTATATAATAAAATATATAAAAAATAAATAAAATAGTAAAAAATTCTTAAAAATGCAAACTCTTTTGACGTTTTTTTATTTTCTTTCTTTTGTATTTTGATTCGCAAATTTTGCAAAGAAAAATTTGCTAATGGAAAAGCAAGCGAACATTTCAAAAAAGAAAACAAAAAATTTGCCAAATAAAAATCTGCCTGTGGAAAAGCGGACTTACTTTCGTTTCTTGTTTTATACGCTAATTCGAACCAAATGAAAAGAAAGATATATCGAAATAAATAGAAAACTAAATTTATTTCCCCATGCATATTTAAAAACTAACCAGTTTTATACCTCTCATTTATTCTTAAAAAAATTTTACGTTTTAGAAATTTTTTCATAATATCAAAATTAATTTATTTTCGATCATTGCTCTGAATTGTTAGGGATGGGACGAATTTCTTTCAATTTACAAAAGTCTGTGTTCGCTCAGATAATTTTTGTATGGGGAACTAAGCGGGGTTTTACACTGTTGGTGAATGGGATTTGTGTTGATAGTTTTTTCTCTCTCTCATTGGTAGATTTGAAAAACATTGCCACAGGTAGGAAAAAAAGTACGAAAAGGTACCTAAAATTTTATTTCAAATGATAATAAAACATAATTATCGAGAAATATTGGTCAGTTATTTGCATAAATAATATATGTTATAATTTAAGCGTAAATGTATTCACGAATAATCAAAAAATCTACTTTTTGTTTTGGTGCGTTTATGTCAATTCGTACCTTTTGGGAACAAAAAGTACGCTTGTTACAAAATTAAATAAAGCGCAACTCTAATTACTCTCAATTTACCAATGAGAGAGAGAGAGAGAAAGTAATTATTTCATAATTCACGGTCGAACAAGGAATGAGAGAGCAAGCTAGGCATGTCTTTACATGGTATTCATACATGGCATTAAACAAGCATAATTTTGGCAAGAGTGTAATTCAAAAGTGATAGTGTGTACACCGCTTAACATATGTCATCGAGTGCTTGTGGGTACTCGGTTTTATAAACAAAATATGGACAAAACGGATTTGTCTGTGCGTCACACTTTTTATTTTAAAAAGAACTTATTATTCTTTTTATTAAATTAGTTATTTCAATTTATTTAATTTAAATTTTAACTTAATTCAATTACATTATGCCATCATCCACAGATTCTGACATATCAGAATATGTGGCTACCTAATATGATAAATGTCGATTAATCGATTAGTCGAAAGTCGACTTCCGTATACCTACACAATGACAGCTGTCAACTCGATTTTCCTTTCTTTCCGGTGACTGCTCCATTAAAGACGCCAAGTATGTAAAATTCCGTAAAAAAATCTTTAAAAATATATGCAATCATAAATTAAAATATGTGAAACTAATAATAAAGCAGAAAATAGTGAAAGACTAAACTTTTTCGAATATGTTTGGTGTCCCCGACCAACGTTAGTTTGACGAAAAACAATAGCTTTACATATCTGATTTGTGATTAATGATGTTTACCAAGTGCAAATTTCTAAATGAGAATTCAACTAATTGCGTGTGTGTGTATTTTTCTTTGCAGGATGTTTATGCCAAAGGCTCATCGCGTTGCTATCTACGAATACCTCTTCAAAGAGGGTGTTATCGTAGCCAAAAAAGATACCCATGCCCCCAAGCACCCTGAACTTGAGAGCATCCCCAACTTGCATGTCATCAAAACAATGCAGTCCCTCCACTCCCGTGGCTTGGTCAAGGAACAATTCGCCTGGAGACATTACTACTGGTACTTGACCAATGAGGGCATTGAATTCTTGCGCAGTTACTTGCACTTGCCCCCAGAAATCGTTCCCGCCACACTCAAGCGTCCCACCAGACCCGAAACTGTACGTCCCCGCCCAGCTGCTGCCGGTCAGCGTACTGCTGATGCCAGCAAAACTGGTGAAGATCGTTCTGCCTACAGACGTGCTCCTGGTGGTGCTGACAAGAAGGGTGATGTTGGCCCTGGTGCTGGTGATGTTGAATTCCGTGGTGGTTTCGGTCGTGGTCGCCCCCAATAAACAACTAGTGGACACTTGGTGATGTATTCGTCACCGGGCTAGATGTAAATCTTTTTAATTTCGTAAAAAGATATGTTTTCTATTTTAAATGAAAAGAAAAAACAACAAAATACACAAAAGATAAAAATCTAAAATCCAAAACACTGAAACTACTTTTTGTTGTTCATCAATTAATACGAAGGCGAAGGTTTGACAGTGGAAGCTGATTTGAAAAAAGAAAATGCATTATAAAGTGGGATAATTTTGATTGTGCAAAAAAAAGTGCAAATAATTTGGTGCCAATATTTAGTGAAAATTGCTCAGAATGTAAACAAAACATTTAAGTCATTCATTATCTGCAGATTGCATCAAATACCAATTAAGATACTAGAGTGCAAATGAAATTGTATATTGGTGGAAATATGAATCTCTTTGCCATTAAAGTCAAAACTCAATTGTGAACATAATTTTAAACCAATTCCTTATACCCACAATCCATTCCAATATAATCCTGTGGAAGATGTATTATCGATAATACAAGTGTTAACATTTGACGAGAAGTTCGAGAACATTTCATTAAATTTTCTAAAATTTTGAAACTTCCACGGTTGTCATTGCGTTTTAACTTTTTAATTGACAGAAGCTCCGTAAATCAATATTTAAAATTTCCCATCATATGTTGAAGAAATTTACAAAATAGTTAATAGAATGTTGGGATGGTTGTACGCTTTTGGAAGATTGCAGTATAAATACATTTTAATCGGAATAAAAATTCAAAAACTTAGCTTACAACTTGCTAGCTATCTCTGGTTTATTTCAAACATAATAAGGCTGTTCCAGAACTGCAAGAATCGACTAGATTTTACTATTTTTAGGAAAGATTTTTTTAATATGGTTTACTACCAATATTGCAAATAGAGGAACAGAATCTGTAAGAAGGTTTTATTAATCGAAATTGGTTTTCCTTTATAAATTTAAAAAAGTTGTAACACATTTTTTTAATGCGGGAACGGATCACAGACAGCTATTTTTTTTTTTTTTTTTTACAAATATCAAGAATAATTTAGTTCTCTCACTTCTATATGAGGATGAAGAAGAGCTAGAAACAATTAACAATATCCACTGTTGTTGTAGCAGACCTATTGCTTTTACACAATGGGCTGAGGTGACAGACGTTGGCCGAGTAAGACTCGGGTCGTTTCCGATCGTAGACCCCTCTGTCGTGGAAACGTATCCTCTGTAGTTATCCATCGCTGAGTGGCAGAAGACACAGACTGTTCGGCAAATATAAAATTGATAGTCTAGCATTATTCTCCGGAATAAATCTCAAGCAGATCCTATAATCATTTTCTGACTCGATTTATGTATGTCCGTCTGTTCATGTATTCCTGTGGATGAAACTTGGCACGGGTCAATTATTTGTCCCAAGGACGAACCCGGCATAACTCTAGTTTTGTAAAAACGATCAGTTTGTTTAACCTTTTCAGTGTCAAAAAAAAAAATTTTTGTCGGAATAAAAATGTAAAATTTGTATGAAGGCCCAGAGTTTAGAAAAAAATCAATTCTTATTTTAACCCTCGGACAGTTTTGTCTATCTTTTAGCAAAAATAAAGACATCAACTGTAACGGTACATAGGATAACCGAATAATTGGAAAGGAAGAGAGTAATTTTAAATGTCGAATATATATTTGACAAAAACAGATTATGAGATTATGCCGTGTAGCGCGGTGTAGGTATCTGTCCACAGGAGGAAGTCTTAATTCCTCGCCCACCCAACAAACCATTCTATTTTACAGGAGATTCTGTATCTTCCAAACGGTTTGTGATAACCAACTTTAAATGATACCCATATTTTGTATTAATCGGATACGTAGAACGGGAATAACTGGGCAACCGGATACGTCTCCCAAGAAAAAATATATCCCCATAATTAAGGTTAAAATTCCTACATCTGGAAAAAAAATTTTCAGAAAAATCTGATCGTTTTTACTAAACTAGAGTTGTTCCATGAACCCTATTGAATATGGTGGAAATCGGTTCAGATTAAAATCCCATTGTTTTTTCGTCCGATTTTATGTAAATGGTGCACTAAACTCCCAAAGTTTGTCTAATTGAGACAACATTTTGCACAAAGTACTGAAATAAATATAACCGGGTAACCGTGTACGTCCCTAAGAAAAAAATATATCCCAATAATCAGGGTAAAAATACGTACCTCTGGAAAAAAATTTAGTAAAATCTGATCGTTTTTACTAAACTAGATTTGTTTCACGAACCATACTGAAATTAGAGGAAATCGGTCAGATTTAGATCCTATTGTATTTTCGTCCAATTTTATGTAAATGATGCACCAAACTTCGAATGTTTGTCCGATTGAGACAACATTTTGCACAGAGTACTGAATTAAATACAGATTGCCTTATGCGAATTTTTTTTTAAATCGGCTCAGATTTTGATATAGCACCTATTTCCCTATTTTATGCATAGCGTACCAAATTGAACCTAGAATAATGTGTATTAGTTTTGTAGCGTATCTTTTGTAATAAAAAGAAAATACATCTCTACATTGTGGCCTATAATGTCAGAATAAGTAAAAATAAATGCAACAATCGTTGTGTTTATTAGTCCGATTTTCCTAACTTGCCAGTTGAGACTGACATTGACGAAAATGGATTGCTTTCCTATTGGTATGTTCCGGTACTACAAGGATCTACTAATTTTTATTATTTTTATCGACATCATAAAGGAAAAAAATTTATCGCAGTAAAAAATAGTAGATTCACACATGGTATAATTATTACAAGGTAGGGCACATATACCAACTGATTTTCTCAAGGTGGCTTGTTCCATCAAATCAAAATACATATTTTGTGTATGTGTGTGTATTGTTTGGAATATAATGTCAAATAAATTAAAAATAAATTAAAATATATTCAAGTTTAATTGAAATGAGCTTTTAACACGTTCGTCTGAAAGTAATTACTTTGTTATGGATGAATCAAACATTTTATCGTATTCCCTACTGGATTTTGTGAAGAAATCATAACTTTTCATTCATTTTTCGCGTTTTTAGTTTTGTGTTGGAAAAATGTAAAATAAATACAAACACTAGTTGCGTATATTTATTTAATTTTTGGCAGAAGAGGCCACACGTGCATAGTTTATTTTTTCTTATTCACCTCAATCTGCCCTACCTTTTATTATTGTACCATGGATTCACATATGAACTGATGTGTCTCCACCAATAGACTTGACAAAAAAAGTTTACTTTTTACAAATTATTTTCAAATTCAACGTTTTCCGTGCTACTGTAATAAAAATTGAAATTTATATATTTATTGAAATTTTATATGAAAATTCCTTAATTTTTGTCAACATATTTTACATATTGCCAGGCCACTAAAGCATAATATCGATGTTAACTTATCATTCGATTAATAAATAATCGATATGTGTGTACATTTTTATCGTCCATTTTTTTTTCATCTCCCCCCATTTGTAGCTCGAGGAACGTTTTTAATTTTTGCAGGCATCGACAATTCTTGTAAAGTGTACAAAACTGATTTTTGTCGGATGAAAGAAAAGTGTTGAAAAAACATTAATTCTTGAATAATATACACATAAATAGCATCATGTCTTATCAAAATTATGGTGTTGCAAGCGATGATGAGCGATTTGCGGACTACAATGATGATTCTCGCTCCAATAATATTTTCGAACAGAACACCTATGACAGTGAAGAGGGTAAGTTGAAGAAAAATATAAATTTTACAAACCTTTGATTAATTGATATGCCAACTTTTATTCCTCAAGATACGGATGATGCCAGTGAAACAGAATTTCGTAACAATGGACGAACTCCCAGCTATACAAGTTCCAATCACCATCAAACAACAAATGGCACCAATAACAGCAACAACAACAGCCACAACCATGAACTTAAAGAGCAGTACGTAAACAAATGCCCAAAATACAGGGTGTTGGATTTTATTTTAGACAAGTTTATACACTTGTATTTTTTATTTCTTTTGTATAGGATGTATCAACACAAATTGGCCAGCTTAAATAAACAACTCGAGGAACTAAAGAATCTAACCCATCCGGAATATCTGAAGAGATTAAAGAAATTGGAATATCAATATAAGGAGCGATTAAAATTAAATGAAATATATCGTGACTATCTGAAAGAGTGTGTTGAACGTGATTATATACTGGAAAAGAAAGCTGCACAAAAGGAATACGATGAAAAGAAGGTATGTTCGGAAAGGCGGATGATTTTTTTGTTAGTGAATCAATAATATTTTATATCTTCGCGTGGGTATAATTAGATTGGTTCAGGTCAGGTCATGGATCGTTTTGAAATTTTTAACATAAGTAAAAAACATCCTTATTTGAAGCGGTTGCGTGTAGTTTGCAAACATTTAATTATCGAACATGTCCATACTATTATATTATAGAAAGGAGATACTGTGACGTAGCCAACCCCTAAAAATCTATAACGTAAACGATTTTGGTTAATCGAAAGTCCATATTAAAATTGTAGTGGAATTTTGAAAATCAGGACATCAACTGCTTCAAATTGCTTAACGTTTCTAGTTCAGATTTCAAATCTAAGTGATTGTAATTTAGTATTAAATTTTCTCATAGTATGAACGACCTACTAACAGACAATTTACAATTAAATAAAGGTTCCATGATTTTTAAAAATGTTGAATGGTGGAGGGTAAAAAATGATCGTCATGCTGAAATTAACTATGTTTTTATTTGTCTCATTTATATTTCTATAACTGCTATGTAAACATTTTATTTCAGATTGATTTAAAAGACAACATATTAACAGACTTTGAGGAGCGGCGGAAATTAATTGAAAACGAACGCTACAGTCTGGAACTAACAAATGATTCAATGGAGGTAATTAATCAATACATAAACTCTTTTTTTTATACCACGAATACTGATAAAAATATATATTTATTGCAGATAAAGCCCACAGTGACACGTAAATTACGAAGACGGCCAAATGATCCTGTACCTGTGGTGGAGAAAAGACGTAAACCAACCACTGGACAATTGTTGGTATATATGTTGGATGAAAGGGAAATTGAAAATGATCTTAAAACCATACAAAGGGGAAAACCTTTAACACCAAGTAAGTGGTGATTAAGTGCATGGAGGAGGTTTTTCTTAAATTAAATTAATTTTTTGTCTATTCAGCCATGCAACAAAATGGTATATCGGTCAGTAGTTCTTATGGTTCCAATAATCATCAACAATCATCTATGGTATCGGACAATGGTACCACACAGTATGTTGAGACACGCATCGAAGATGGCAAATTATTGTATGAAAAACGTTGGTTTCATCGTGGCCAACAAATTTATGTAGAGGGTAAAGATTTGCCGAAATTTGCTGCCACCATTACAGCCATTGGAAATGAAGTGGTAATTAACATTAAGATTTTTGAAAATATGAAATATGTGGTAATTTCATATTATTTTCTTTTGCAGGTATGGGTTAAGAAGGTCAATGACAGTAGCAGTAGTAAGGTTAAAATTAACATGTCCCATCTGGCTAAGGGTAAAGTGACAATAAAACGTCGTGCCAACTGATGACACCTTAACACTTCTAAACCCCAACAACAACAACCAGTTGCTTTTACACCGCCACCCATTATTAATAAATTAACTTAATTTAATTTTATATATATTTTAAGATTACTTCAGCATAGGAAACAAAAAACATTATTTTTTTGTATGATTGAACTGTTGATTTAGTTTTTATTTTCTAATGATAATTAGTTTTTCTTAAAACTCCCCCAAAATAATTCGATATAAAATACAATGTGTAAAGAAAAAAAAATATCGAAATATTTTTTATTATTATTATTTTATGTTTTTAGTTTATTTTTTATGTATAATTGCAATAAGTTAATTTATTGATTCCTTTTTTTCATTTTAACACACACATTAATTTGTTTTGTGTTTTCTTCTATTTTGCTTTACCAACAACAATTTTTGTGTAAATACGCATTGTAATGTTTTTTTTTTTTAGAAACAAATAAATTAAATGTAATGTAGTTTTTAAATATAATCGTATTCATATAGAAAAAACACATCCAATCACATTAAAATGTGATTTCTAAATATTATTTATGCGCGAAAGAAAAAACCTTGTTTATTTTGAATGTAATAAAATAAGAAGTTTATTGTTTAAATATATATTGCTCTAGCAAGTACGCGCAATTTTGTTTGCGATACTATTTATTTGTATATATATTAATTATTAATTTCGTCATTCCGTTTGCAACATCTCAAAATATTCACCTGAGACTCCAACAAGTTTCTATATTCAGAATAATATTCTATGTCGATTTAGTCATGCTCTGAAATTACGATGATGTTACTCCACTTTTTCGGGTAGACCCCATAGCTTTTGGGCACGTTTTCCAACCTAATCACCTACAATTTGGTATTTTAGTTTCTACATGGTAGATAATCTTCCTACAAATACTTTTCAGCATTGCTCCACTTTGCAGGATGACCCTCATGGAGCGGTATTTTAAAGCTGCTGGGCATATTTAAAACAGAATTGGTTCAAATTTAATATTAGAGGTTATCATTGAGCAGAAAATCTTCTTGCAACCATTTTTTAACCGAGGGGGACATTAATTTGTCATCTTTAGTTATTGGAGGTTGACATACATACGAAGTACCGGCAATTTGCCATTCCGGGTTTCTGATAAATATACCGGAAAACAATGATCAATATATGTGTCCATATTTTGCCATGAAGCAGTTCCTCCACCCGTAGATATATGGTCCATTGTGATAAGACCTTGTTAAGAGAGAAAGCTAAAAAAGTTTCAAGGATGACGTATGGGTTAGGGTTGATAGCTCAGAGGAGTGAGTCCTCAATTGCTATATTGATTTACTGTGATCCATATCGAAAAAAACCCTTCGGCTACTTCGGGGTTTGATTGACTACTTTAAGGGCCGCTTGACTCTGTTTTTATTATTTATTGCCTATAAAAATTAGGGTCCACTTAATTATCGGAATTTTTAGATTTTGGCAGATGTTTGAATACGTTTTTCAACCGAATTGGCCTTTATTTGATTTTTCAGGTTCTAATGTGTTGTCAAATCTCGCCACGGAACATTATCAATATAGGTTTACCTTTTGTCATATGTAGTTCCCATTTTCCCACCTATGTGGCTGCAATTCTGTATAAAGGGTTCTTGAAGGCCGAAATACATATATACAGATAATGATCAATATAGATAAGATTTGGCATAGCCCCCATATAAGGATATCGCCCGTAGATATATTGGAATGACAAAATTTAATAATCACTCCAGATTTTGGTGGAGTGTACAGAAATGCCTGTAGATACGACGGATTTAACATCCTTTTAACGTCAATTGCATATGACAAGTAGCGCCATCTACTGTTACCGACAATGAAATTTTTTTCCAAAATTTGTGAATGGTCTGTGTACGAACAACGTTCAAATGATTGCTGTCTGAGCTCAGCTGGTGTCTACACTATAATAATGAACACAGCTTCTTTGTTTCGTTTAAGGCATGTGGTACATACAGGGTGTTGAATTTCAAAATATTTATCTATTTTATCTAACAAGACTTCCGTTCAATTTATTTTTGTTTTCCATATTCGTTTTGTGTGAATGGCAATGATATTTTATAAGGTTTGTGTCCACAATACAAAAGTTTACGTAACAGTCACAAAAATCGCAATAAAAATTAAAAAAAAAATCCATTAACCAACTATATGATACCCTTCACCACTTTGGGTATATTGTACCTATGTATCCTTACAACTGCGTGTCAATGTTCCGTCGATGGAGCATACTCATGCCTATGCTAAATTTAATATAATTCCGGCAGATTTAAAGTTGTCTGCGTACCATGGGACAAATTTATGGAAAACGATTTATAGCAAAATTAATACATGCTATTCGATACGTCGCACTGTTAAAAATTTAATCTCAATCAGACATCCCTTCGAAATACATATGGAAGCTATGGCTACATCGGCACCAATTTTAACAAAATGCAATAATGTCATTAAGGTCTCAATCGAAATGTGAATCGATTTTGCCGAAACGTACCACACAGCATTCTAGACTCAATTCAGTACGCTATGCCAAATTTCGTGCAAATCGAAGGTTATATAGGGACTTTGGTGCACCCTTTATATAAAATCGAAATTATATATAGGGAGCTATATCTAAATCTAAACCGATTTTCACCAATCTTAACACTCACCGTTCTAGACTTAATTCAGTACGCTATATATAGTATATATGGGAGCTATACCGAAATCCAAACCGTTTTCCAAAAACTTACTACTCACCATTCTTGACTCAATTCAGTACGCAATGTTAATATATATAGGGACTTTGGGGCACCATTTACCTTAAATCGGACGAAAATATATATTGGAGCTATATCTAAATCTGAACCGATTTTCACGAAACTTGGCTAACATCATTCTAGGCTTAATTCAGCACATTGTGCCAAATTTCGTGCAAATTGAAAGATATATTATTGGTGCACCATTTACCTTAAATCTGACGAAAATATATATGGGAGCTATATCTAAATCTGAACGGATTTTAACGAAACTTGCTAAACAACATTCTAGGCTTATTTCAGTGCGTTGTGAAAAATTTCGCGTAAATCGGAAGATATGTAGGGACTTTGGTGCACAATTTACCTAAAATCGGACGAAAATATATATGGGAGCTATATCTAAATCTAAACCGATTTTTACAAAATTTACCACACATCGTTATACACTTAATTCAGTACGATATGCAAAATTTCGTGCAAATCGAAGGATATATAGGGACTTTGGTGCACTATTTACATAAAATCGGATGAAACTATATACGGGAGCTATATCTAAATCTGAATCGATTTTCCCAATTTCAATAGGGTTCGCCCTTGGGCCAAATAAATGAGCTGTGCCAAATTTCATCCAATTCGAATAAAAAATGCGACCTGTACTTTGTTTACAATTTAACATGGACAGACGGACATGCATAAATCGACTTAAAAAGTTATTCTATGCATATTCTCAAAAGAAACCATGGTCTATCTCTTTTCCTTTTGCCTGTTACAAACATATGCACCATTTATAGGTGTGGATATTTTAAAAAATATTTTTAATGACCACCTATAGGCGTGGATATTTTTAAAAAAATATTTGTTATGGTCCGATCGATTGAAAATATTGCAAATTACTTTCTTCCGCTACTCTATAGAAATTTCAAAATTCCGGTGTAGATTAAATCGCAAACTGCCAAAATAGCAACAGTTCTTGTAGTGCCCTAAAAAAATTCCCATGCAATTAATGTGTAAGCAATGAGAACCGGAATTACAATTTCACGCTATAAATGAAAGACAGAAATGAAATAACAACAATCTCCAAGAGAAAATTGACAAAACTGGTGATGATTATGAGATGCTGCATTCAAACACACAAAAAAACACCGGAACACAGAAGGTGTGAACTGTGCGAATTTTATTTCTATTAAACAAAAAAAGAGATAAGCAATTTGAAGCGATCCGATAATGTTCACACCTTTTGGCACTTATTCTTCTTCTCGTTCTCGATCTACGATCTCTCTGTTGTGTAAGCGCCCATAGGGAATCGACAATGTTTATTTAACACAAAACAACAAATAAGAAGATAGCATCATGGTGGGTTCATGACATTTTCCCAACCTCCAACTGAGCGGCCAATGGATATTCTTATGCAAAATTAAACAGCAGAACAAGAAGAAGAATCACTAATAATAATCCACAAAAAAAGATAAAGGACAAGGAGGAGAATAATGCACAAGTGTCGGACATAAAACCAAAGCCGACTCAGCAGGGATGGATGTAAAAAAGAAGATGGGTATGGGTAACATTGAGTGCGTTTCAACACCCCATCAAACATGCAGCGTTGGCAGAGATATCGGTTGGTTATACAACAATACGCACTGCAAGTGTTGCACACACATTACAAGGGTAATAGGAGTAGTGATGCGGCAGCATCACCACCACCACTAAGGTCATCATCATCCAGCAGCAGCATCGTCATCATCATTATTGTCATCGGTGTAACCAAAACTACTACCGGCTGGTTGACAACGGTATGTCTAATGGTGTGCCCCCTTGCCTTGTGTGCCTTCCTATGTGAGTGTGTGTGTTGTGTCCTTTGGAAATTGTAGATCTATGCAATATGAAGTTGCACCAATTGTTGACAAAATTCTAAGAAAATATTTTTGGTTATGCTTCAAACAACAGGTTACAGTTACCATACGAGCGAAAGCGAGCAATTGAGTGTGTGCACTTGTAACGACCAAATGAAATCGTAACGTTTCGTATTTCACATGAGATCGAGAGAAAAAAGGGCAATTAATCTAAAACTCAACAAGATCTGTGAAATATCATTAGCCGAAGATGTTCAATATGAATTTTTAGTTGTTAGGATATTAATTATAGTTCCTTTGGAGAATTGTGCTCTCGTTTTTGCGGCATTGACCTTTGATTTGATTATTTTTCGTGGAATTTTATAAGAGATTTACACAAATTTCCAATATAAATTAGGTTAATTGTTGAGTTCA